GGCAAGAGTTGAAACAGGCGCTTGTCCCGGTGAGCTACCGGTCACTAGATTGCGCACGGTGTCGGAGAGCACCAACTGTAACCATGGCATCCCTGACAAGTTGCCGGACTGTGGCACACATGGTCGCCAGGAGGACACGTCACTGGGCAACCTGTGCTTGCCGGATGACAGCTGTCCGTCATGGTGGTGGAATCATGGCACACCACCTCATCAATGCCACAATAGACTGGACAAGACCCAGGAGAACAGTAGCTGTATCCATCGCAGGTGTCGCATGGCGGCGGCACATGGCACACGTTGTCACCGGGGGGACAGGTGACGGGGCAGCCAGTGCTCTTCGGATGGCAGCTGTCCGTCATGGTGGTGGAATCATGGCACATCACCTCATCCACACCGCAATACACTGGACAAGAGCTGGGAGAACAGTAGCTGTATCCGTGGCAGGTGTCACATGTGGCCGGCATGTGGCACAAGTGGTCACCGGGAGGACACGTGACCGGGCAACCTGTGCTTGCTGGGTGGCAGCTGTCCGTCATGGTGTTGGCATCGTGGCACGTCACCTCATCCACACCACAATACACCGGACACGCGCTGGGGGAACAGTAGCTGTGTCCCTCACAGCCTTCGCATGACGGTGGCATGTGGCACACTTGGTCACCGGGGGGACACGTGATCGGGCAACCTGTGCTGGCTGGGTGGCAGCTGTCCGTCATAGTCGCGGAATCGTGGCACATCACCTCATCCATGCCACAATAGACTGGACAAGAGTGGGTGGAACAGTAGCTGTAGCCATGGCAGGTGTCGCAGGTGGGCGGCATGTGGCACACATGGTCGCCGGGAGGACACGTCACCGGACAACCTGTGGCTGCTGGGTGGCAGGTGTCCGTCATGGTTGTGGAATCATGGCACATCACCTCATCCACGCCGCAATACACCGGGCAAGTGTAGGACGAGCACCAGTTGTAGCCATCACAGCCATCACAGCTCGGCGGCATGTGGCACACATGCTCACCGGCAGGACATGTCACAGGGCAGCCTGTGCTCTTCGGATGGCAGCTGTCCGTCATGGTCGTGGAATCATGGCACATGATCTCCTCTGAGCTGCAGGTCACAAACTGTGCGCCGTCCTTCTTCATCTTCGTCTGCAGGGCACATGCTCCCTTGCTCTCCTGGACTGTGCTCATAGTGTCTGCCAATATGGCACGTACGGTAATCAGAGACACCAGAATCGACAGCACCATGGCTGTAAGGCTTCCAGCGTCAAGAAGGGCAAAGTCTACTCAAGAGTGAGTGAAAATGGCTGCCAAAGCTCAGGAGTACACTTCCAAACGTACCGATGAGTACTAATTAAGCAGGTGCAACAGCAGCAGCCAAACTAAGCGTGGCTTCGAGTGGAACGCACATGCTCACCTGCAAAACATGTCACAGGGCAGCCTGTGCTCTTCGGATGGCAGCTGTCCGTCATGGTTGTGGAATCATGGCACTTGATCTCCTCTGTGCAGCAGACAACTTGAGCTGCACCATCCTTCTTAACCTTCACTTTCGTCTGCAGGGCACAGGTTCCCTTCGTGCTCGTGTCTGCCAACATGGCACAGACGGTGGTCAGGGACACCAGAATGGACAGCAGCATGACTAAAATTCCTCCAGCGTCAAGACGCGCAAACCCTTGCTCAAGAGTGAGTGAAACTGGCGGCGGAGGAGGCTAGGAGGGTACTGCCAAACGCACTGACGAGAAAGCATGCCAGACGTGGTTGCCACCAGTGGACGTGCATGCTCGGCTTACAAGATACCTATCTGCTGGACATGTGCTTGCATGCTTGTCACTGGGACTTCTTCGCCGTTACCTAGGTACGACTTGTTGCTGTTGGATACCAATCGGGGGCGGGCTTCCCAGCTATCCAGCTATGTCCAAATCCACGCAGGCCAACCGGACCAAATAATGAGGTCCCGCTCGTCACAGTGTCTCCGAGCTAAAGGTAGAAACGCATGCAAGCTAGACGCCAGTCTCCAGTCATACCAACTCTGTGCAAGTCCCCTGCGTTTGTCATGAGATGTTATGACGAATGGAAAACAGCCAGCCAACGGCAAGCCGAAGAGCAAGAATCTCGAAACTCAATAAGAGCCACTAGGACTTTGTCTACACCTGTGCGACAAGTCAAGACACTGGGCCTGATACGCGGCACGACTTTTCTGGAGCATTCCACTCGCTGTCAGCGGCAGGCATGCTCAGTGCACGTGATCCCCTGCACCTCAGCGCGAGGTGCCAGCTCACCCTGGTGGTCTACGAAGTAGGCGAACTCCTCCTGCAGCAACACCTGGCACAGTCTCTGACCGAGGTCCCTTGTAGGTCCCTTCCCACCTCATCGTCTGCGAGCTGCGAGAAACAAGGCTAGGAATTCTCGACACCATCGGTCCAAAAATCCCGGGGAAAATGGGCCTGGTCAGCCTTGTCACGCCGGGATCCACTCCGAGACAGGTTCGGGCTGCACGTAGGCAAACTCCTAGCGGCTGAAAGGGTCAGGGCCCCAAGGACCAGGGCGGCAAGGCCAAGCTTCCTATTTCCGGCCTCGACATATGATCGCTCAGGATCATCGCAGCTTTCCTGCCAAGGCACCAAGGTTCAGTTCAGCTCTATCGGGACTTGTCCAGGAATCTCAGCACGGCGGAACCCACAAAACCACAAGCAAGGCGCCTCACAAGAGTAGATACAGATCGTGCCGAAGTCCAAGCGATCTTGCAGGGGCGAGCCTTCAGACATGCTTGGGCGGTGTAAGCCAATTCGGTTGGATGGACAGCAGAAAGGGAGAACGACATTTATCGAAACTACATGCATAACACTTCGAGGCTGAATCGAAGATTGCATTTCGAGAATGATGCCATCGACGACCTGTTGCAGCCATGTTACAAGACCTTCATTCAAGGACAAAACGGGCAGTTCTAGATTGTGGTTCCTGTTTCGACCGCTTTATGATCCTTCCGTACAAGGTCGATACTATTCAGTGTGCCTAGGATATCCAATCAAAAGGGTTCCTAATTCGTCTGACCTTGGAAAAGTCCCTAAATCTCAGTTCAATCGTTCGGGTTGGCCTCGGGCCTGGACGCACAATGCCTATCTCTCCGTTCACCTGCATGCCTGTCAAAAGCGTAACATCTTATGATTCTTATGTATGCGTATGCACGGGAAAGATGACCAATGAAACATATATGGGTGTTATCCGATATTC